AGCAGTGGAACAGGCTGCCCAGGGAGGCTGTGGAGTCTCCTACTCTGGAGGTCTTCAAAACCCGCCTGGATGCCACCCTGTGCCACATGCTGTAGGTGTGCCTGCTTGAGCAGGAAGGTTGAACTAGATGATCTGTAGAGGTCCCTTCCAACCTTAAATATTCTGTGAATCTGTGATTCTGTGAATCTGTAAAATGTGATCTTTAAATCTTGAATGGTCACTACTAACTCCATGATTAGTATAGACTAGAGAACAGAGGATGTTTAGACAAAGAAGGGAAAAATAGCTGAGAAAGGGACTCCTGGGTCCCAGTAGTATTTAATTTTTTTTGCGTCTGGCACACTTTCAATTATTCTCAATATCTCTTTTGAGCCTCCTTTATAGCTATGACATTTTACTGATGTATTCACTATTAATTCCTTACTTGTTTCCTTACAGACATGTATGATTTATTTGGAATGTTTCTAAGGAATGAACAGACACAGTATCAGGAAGGAGAAAAAAAAACACATTTTTTCACTAATTCTGAAGTACAGATCAATCTAGGATTTTTTTGCTTAGTTTTGCCACAAGTTTTTGCGTCAATAAATATCTATCCAAATAATTTATCATAATATGAAAATTCTGGATGCCTAGACTAATAAACAAGTAATATGGAAAGTCAAAAAAAATAGTTTGCACTATCCACAATTCAGTTACAAAGCAAGAAAGGAACTCTGCAATCTAGATACCAGAATTGGCTTAAGGACAGAAGGCTATAACAAGTATACAACGCACCTTGAAAAAGAAGGATAACTAAAATTTAAGACTGGGTTGACAACATGATAACATAAAGCAAATTGTGGTTAGGGGAGAAAAAGGTGGTCGGGGATATTTTCTCCTAGACTGAAGTATTTGCTCTGCGTTTCATCTGCTGGCACTAAGCAGTAAACAGACCATACAGGCCTACCACTGAATACAGAATGAAGAACTAGCAGTTCATTGGCCACATAGTGTTTATCTATTATCTTGATTAAATGACTGCAATCAGTTTTGAATTTTATGTCTCTGACAACCTTTCAAGCATCTTCCCATCCAAGCTCACATCAAAGTTTTCTTTTGAAACATAATTTTATCCAAAACATTTGGACTGAGAAGAAAAGTAGGTGGGCTCAAGCAAAACAGGTAAGTAAAGCACTTGTGAATATAAGCTTTTGCATATCTTTTAAATCATAATGTAAATAAAACATAAAATGATAGTGGAAATAAACACGAAGTGGATGCTCCAGTTCAAAAAACTGGGTAAAGCAACCTTAAACAGGGCTTGCTGATGAATCAACTAAAAGTTGCTATAGAAACAGCAGTCAATACACACTACTCAAACACAGAGTGGAAAAACAGTTTCTTGTGTTTTTCTTTTTTTCCTGCCTTTATTTTGCATTTAATGAATACTGTGTACATAAAGGGCCAAACAGTTCCAGGGTGCTGTCTCTCACTACAAGACTGAACTTAGATTCCTGAGACTTGCTTTTCGTACCACTTGCTTGACCCTGCTGCATATAACTAAAGCGTAAGCTATTCTAGGCAAGTAAAAACATCTAAATTTAGACTGAACAAGAGTTTTCCCCTTTTTTTTCCCTTACAGTAACAAAGCAAACTGTCTTATAAATATCCTTCAAAGTACCGAAAGGCTTCCCCAGCCTTTCAGCTAGAGCTATATTCCCCAGCATGGTATCTCTACAACTGCAAAATGTCTCAATACTAATGAGAATTTACTGTTTTGATTTATAGGACAAACAGATTTCATTCATATTCACTTGGTGCCCCCAAGTCAAACTCAACATTCAAGTTTTTCTTACATCAGAGTTTTAGGGACTGGGCTGTCCCTTCAGTATAGAATATTTTGTTTATAAAATTAGTGGTTTGGAATTATCTTGCATAGGAATCATACAAACAGAAGTCTAAATAGCTCTCTAACATAAAACGTAAAATTTAGCTGATGAGTAATTTAGGTAAATCATCCAAAGAACCTGAGCAGTACTGGACCCCATATGGACACTGGGGTGCACCACTACATACTGGTCTCAGTGAGACTGGACTAACATGTATAAAAGTGCAGGAAAAGTGTACATGAAAGGAAAGTTTTGAACATTTGTTGCTCTTTACTGTAGAATTTGTAGGTAAATCACATTGTTCAAGTGTAATGGGGAGAGATCTTTCAGAAAAGAAAAACTCTCTAAACAGCAGGTATCTTCAAATTTCAATCCAGAAAAAGTACTTGTTCAGAGAGTATCTCTGAATGAAAACAATCTAAACAATACTGCTACATGAATTCAAAAAGCAAAAAATCCAAAAAACTCAGAATTAGTTTGATAAGGCTAGTACTACGGTCATGTTGTCTTGTGAAAAACCTGGAGCAATTAAAACTTAGCCAAAAGGTATCTCGGAAAACAAAATTTGTAATACAGCAGAACCACCTACAATCCTTTGGAGATTAAACTTACTTACATTATTTTCGTAATTCATATATATGCCCTTGTAAGTATGTAAGTATATACTTTATTTATAAAAAGTCATAGATTCAGGATACCCAGCCACAGAATTTCAAAACTCCTGAGAGAGAGCTATACTTAAGCTCATCAAAATTGTAATAGCAACTGATATAAGATAATCAACCTATGAAATAACTTGTAAGGCTTACAGAATTTCAACTGATGTGGTTTGAGGGGTGGAGAAGGGAAAGATTGTTTCAGTACCTTGTCTTCCCTCATCATTGGTAAACAAACCCGCATCACTGCTGCTCAGACTGCTGGATTCACTGTAATAAGAGAAAGAAAGAAACGGATCAAAAGAACAATTGATCTTTTGGTCATAAAATTTTAAAGGGGACAAGGCTATACTCATACAGAATTTAAGTCCAACACAGACTTGAAAGAAAATGATTTTTTTTTAAATCAAACTGCAAATATCCTAGTTCCATCAACTATAAAGCATATTATTTTTGGCACATAAAACCACAGGAATCTAATGGTACCCTGACACTAAGCCAGATGCGACTCCAACAAGGTGCTGACACAATTGATGTCTTTTATTATCTGCTTCTATCTAATGCTCACCAGCCTTTCTTATGCTGTACAATTCAGCTTGATTCTGGCACATCATTGCTCAATAAAAACAGAAAAAAACTCTCAATTAAAAGCAGTGTAAGCTTTCAGTATGTAAAATATAAGAGTCTTAAGATAGAATTACCTTTGTAAACATCATTTGCAAATATTCTGGAAAACACAGTACTTCAGGATTCACTACACATTATTTATCAGGAAAGAAAAAAAGTATACAGCAATTGTAGCCTATTAAATCAAAGAGCATCCTGAAGAAAATGAATATGATCAACAAGATCATAACATGAACAAAAAGAGGAAAGTAACAATTTGCTTTTCCATAACTTCTTTCAGGGCCTTAAAATTAGAATATGTGAATACAGTATGCACATATTTCACTAAATTTGAAGAATGCAATTAGAAATACACTTTGTTATTATACATGCAAATATTATTACAAACAATACATGTTATTACAATATTCCACTTGTTTCCAAATACCGAAATAGTCTCTTGTCTTTTAATAACATAAACCACAATTTGTTGAATATCACATTTCTGTATTTAAAAAGAAAAAGGGTTTTTTTTTTTTTAAATGGGTAGCTCTATTCAGGAAGTAGCATATCACCAAAGTTTAATCATACTACACTTATATTGCAGAAGAATCTGAATTTCTCCTCAGTTCACCTAACAAATTCAAGTAAGAGGTAAAAGTTCAGTGGCTATTCTCAATGCTACATACAAGCTACATGCAAAGAAATTGAGATATGTTTTGCCTTTCTGTTTTTACTCCAGCTATAACATACTTGCAGTCCTATTCTTGAATGCAACTAATTTAATATCATACTTTTAATTACTCCCTTAACATATTTAGATTATTTCTATTTTTGGTTTTAAATATCTAATATGTTAAGAAAATTCTGTCTTTTTAAAYATAAATCTCAGAAGTAAGCCTCAATAATTTTCAACCTGAATAAATTATGTAAAGTTAGCCTTGTTTAATTGAAGCAATATACTTGTTTTTACATCTTCATTTTGGAAACATTCCAAGATTTGAAACTAAATATGGCTTCAGGAGCTACAAAGCCATTATCTGCAGCTATCTTTTTAATGTATATAGAGCTATACATTTAAGAACAAGTTTTCTTAACCTTTACTGCACCTTCTACTTATGGAGTATTCTTACCGCWTAAGCGGTGCTTACCCCAGTACTTACATCTCTCACAGTAATAAAGTTCTTACTCTGGGAATAGGCTGTTCATGAAGTCATAAACCCTGGTAGTTTCCTAAAGTACACTTGATGATAAAGTGTTTTTTGTTTGTTTTGTTTTTCTGGGTTTGGTTTATTTAAATCATTAACTACAGCTCTGGCATATTTATGGCTGCCAGTGTTCACTTTGCTTAGCCACAGTGAAAAGGGCAGGAATTACAGCCGAGATTATTCAGTTAAATCTCTGCCTGTTTTAAAATTAATACAAGAGCTCTGAAATTAATTTATTACTATCTAAACACAAGATTGCTGTGATGGAAGTTGTTTTCAGTTTTAAAGCAATTCACACTTTAGATTGTTACAAAGCAAAGAAAACACTGAAGATTCCTCCTCCAACAAGACCTCCAGGAATAAAAAAAAAGATTCGGTAAGATAAGGTATGTAGGCAAAGCCTGAAGGAAAAAAACTTTCCTGCTTCCCCCAAAACTGCTAGAATGGGCTTTCACAGCTGCTGGCTTTCACAGTTTTGTTATATGCTTTGTTATATCCCCATATCTTGCACAGTCTCAGAAGGCACCTATTCCCTTCTAAAATCCCAGCCTTTACTTATGAAACAATCTTGTTTCTCTCAAAAATGGAATTAATATGATTGTGTGAAACTGTTCAGAAACAGTATGCACACTRAAGGCTTAAACCAAACAATTCCCAAAGCTTTTGGAACAGCATTGCAAGAAGTTTTCCAGAATGATGGATTCAAACACATTCACAGTGTTCAGAAAACACTATGAAAATGAGAAGGTTCCCAAGGCCAATTATTGGGACCACAGATAATTTTGATGTACCATTTGAGAAATGACAACACCAGGTGTAACAAAAACATTAAGCATTTCAAAGAGAAGACTAAATTTTTAAAATCAGTATTCCCCTAGTGAAAAGAAAAAGGAAAGCACCGCTGACTTGAAAGCAGCACACTGTTGGAGTCTACAGGATTTTCATACTGGTCATGCCTCCATCCACTCACAAGTTATAGCATTTTTGAGTTTGGGAACTGTTACTCTTGTGACTTCACAGAAAAACATTAAAAATTAAWTAATATGAATATATACATCTGAATGAAAAGGTTTCTTCAAACAAATTTTCAAACCACCTATCTTTAGGTACCAAAGCAGGCAATACAGATTGGCAGTACTGAAAAGGATAGTCTACTTAAAGCTCCCTGACAATACATTCTAACTTGTTTGTCTAAGCGCGCTGTCTAAAGACAATCTGGATGCCCTAGAAGYACTGCTTCTGCTCTAATACCATTATGAAGATATTAGGTGCAATCTATAAAGCTCAGGATTCATATGGCTTTTTCATTAGTTATCTATATCAGCCTTATCTTCATCAGTTGATGAACACCACTGTGTTATTACACATAATAACTGTGTAATAACTGTGTTATTACACATAAAACTTCTCTAACAGTAAGTTGTTAGTCACTTACCACTACTGCTATTACAGTAGTTGAGTTGTCTGCTTTAACCAAAGCCCCTAGGCGCTATCCCAACATTAAATGCCACTTATACAATAAACAGGAGAGAACAGTATGGATAAAATGCCTATGAGAAACAGGAACACTGTGGCTGTCAAGCCATTGAGAAGAATTATTTGTTTTAATACAAGTCTTTCCTGCTGACAGTTCTGCATTCAGAATCAGACACAAAGGATAAACATAATGAGGCTTACCAGACCCTGCAGGTAAGATCCCTTGGGTATGGTGGAAAAATGACTTACACCTTACTGTGTTGTCAAAATAGCACTTTGGAAACAATCACCATTGTAGCATGCCTGCTGTCTGCAATGGATGGATGAGGTGTGCTGCCAAAGGGTCATCATTCCCCCATTTTTCTAATGGCAAGCTCAGGTGTTTCTGAACTGTAAATTGGTTTTTACATTTCCTAAGTGATGTATATCCTTGGCAGCCTGCAGACTTTTTACGCCATTGACACATAAGAACATATTGTCTAAATGGTGAATCTAAACACTGACAACTTTTCTGATGAACAGAGATAACAATCAGAGCACCCATGTTCAGAAATTGAAAAATCTTTGTTTTCTGCTGTGAAAGTCTGAGAACTGTCACCAGTTGAAATAAACAAAAACACTGTATTTTAATCATTTATGTATTCTATCTTGATATTCTTAATCTTGCAATAATTAAAATACATTCTTTCAAGAAGCTGTTTTTAGTTATTCCCCTGTCACTTGACTCTATATCTGAATACTTAAACCTGATCAACTCAACATAGTAAATGTCAATACATTTAGGTCAAAAAAACAAACAAATGAAAAAAAGAAAAGAGTAACTTATTAAAACAAGTGCAATTAATGCTTACATTTTAACTCTGAAATTAAAAAGAATTCCAAAGGTTGCCAATATCTACACTAACAGTAAAACACGCAAACAAGTATTATCCAAAGATTCTATAAGAAGTAAGAGAAAGAATAACCTGTCACTCATGTTTTCATCTGAGCCCTTTTGCTCCTCATACTCCATTTTGTCCTTATTTGCTTGGTTCATTTCTTCATTTTCTATAACTACTCCTTCATCCAAGATTTCTGGTCCTTGTCGAGCTGTAGCTACTTTCCTTTTTTTCACTTTATTCTTGGAAAACTCTTGATGTTGGTATGATTTATTGTCATTGTCCATTTCTTGATCTCTGCTGCTATCCTGCTGTTGAGTTATTGTCAGTGCATTAGAGACTTCTGATGGGAGGTCTACTGCCATTCGCTTCACTTTTCTTCTCCTGCGCAAAGTTCTGTTTCCTAAACTATCAACCGCCAAATCCGGTTCATGCCACAGAGGTCTTTTGCCTCGAATGTTATTTAAGTTTGAGGAAGGTCGACGTTTAGCAACCAACAACTGGTCATCAGAGTCACTGTGGTCTTTCTTATTAGCATGACTTTCCCTATAGTCTTTGCTTGATTCTTCCAAACTGGAATCAGAACCTTCACTTAAACAGTGACCAGTCTCCCAGGGATGGTGGGTGGTAAACGAACGTCTCTTTCGTCCCCTCCTTTTCCTCGCCTGCCGCTTAAGAAGACAAGACACRCTTCGAGAATGATCTCCAGTATCAGCAAAACCTCCTCTAGCTTGCTCCGAGCTTTCTTCCAGTGCTGAGACCAGATCGTGGACTAGCTCCTCCATAGTCCTACTGAAATGCCTGTTTCCAGGAAAGCATAAAACAAACAAAAAAGAATCAGAGATCTATTACTTAATCAACTCTACAACATTTTTATCAGTGAAAGTTATCTGAGTTTCTCTGCAATATAGTCTCCATGTCTGTTTACTACACTGTTTACTTAGTACACTCTGATACTTTATTTTTAAATGACATTGTGTCCAATTTCTGCCTTGGAAACAAAAGTAGAGCCCTTCTCCTTTGCTTTTGATCCTACTAATAGYGTTAGATTTTCTCTCATCATATTTTTAGGTGAGTTTAGGGATTCACTATGACAACTGATACAATGGACTAAGACCATTCARTATAAGTCTAGGCAGTGAAAATTTCAAATTTTCACATCTAAAATTTATGAATTGAAAATACATAATATTCTTCCTTCGTTATGGAGTTCTGTTTGAGAGTATCATTAGAATAAAATAATTTTAAGGAAAACTATTTTCTTGACACTTCTGAAATGCCAAGGTGTATTATTTGATTGTGTGTGTGTATATATACATATACATAATATATATTTTGATAGTAACAAATTCTGACTTTCCAAATAGCTGATACTTGATTTTAAAAATATTGATTCAATGGAGCAATATTAGAGTTGAGAGTCTGTCCTACCACAAGTAATTCCAGAAGATTAAATGTGATGTTTTCTRCTACATCCAGGCACTCATTTCTAGATCATCGTACACTTGTGAAAAGGCGGGGGGAAGAGGGGGAGAAATACTCCTAAACACATAGTATTAGATTAAGGACTTACCCTATCAAACGTTTCTTTCCTTCCTCCTTAACTTTCCCTAGCCTTTACCACATTGTCAACTCAGAAACTTCAGAAAGTTCACCCACACATTACAAGAACATAGGTATTAAAAGAGAAAATGCATTAACATATTGCTAGTGAACTCTACAGAGAAGATTAATAACCATCAGAGAAGGATTGAACACACTGATCAGATTCTCACATCAAAGTCCCCTCTTTTAGAGGTAAATTTGAGAGGAATGTTCATGATCACCACTACATTATGCCCGTTGATGAATATGGAGGAGCAAGTACATTACTTAGAAAGATGATTAAAAGCAAGACTATTCAAGTTGTTTTCCAATGCATGTTGATGGAGACATCAATGAATATTTTTGTACCCATATTAGTGGAGCTATAAGTAGAGAGAAATTACAGATGCGGAGCAATGAGGTTCTTCGGCTTACCACAAACCCCAAAATTAAAGGTGCTTGGATGAGATGACTGAATGAACAGTCATGAATGAAGAGCACAGAAAATTTTAATATTAATGAGGGAACTGAAGAGCAAATTTAAGCCATTCAAAATGGTCACAAAATATCTTATGTGAAGAAATGTTACATTCTTCTTTTAAAAGGCTTTCAGAAGCACTTATTTTAAACATTTTGGTTGCAAGATAAGGGTCACCAAAAGACTGAAGTGATATAGATTCAAACTCACTTTGAATTCCCAAAGTGACTTTGTCACTTACTTGCTGTTTCTAACATACTGAAATCCCTAGTCCCACTACTTCCTTTTAATATGACATTTTCTTTGATTCTTAGTACAGCAGAATCCCCTGATCTCTTAAGGGGTAACACACAACTCAAAGAATAGCATAGTTCTCCTTAGTCTATTTGGCTCTCAAAATCTTCTTAATGAGAGAGAGAGAGAGAAGAAAAAAAAAAAAAAAAAAAAAAAACACCACCCTCTTAGAAAGAAGATAAACAATGGAAGGGCATTCCTCACATGTATACAATGTAACAGGGAAAGGCATTCCCCACATGTATACATGACACTTAAAAAGTATACAAAGTCAGATACATTAGCACATACTTCTCTGTATCTGGAAAAGCTGATACACAGCACAAACAGGATATGAGCCTCTCTTGCCTCATTTTTAATGCCCACCAAGACAGCTCTTTTCAGGAATATATCAAAAAATGATGTCTTGAGATATAAGGGTCTTTCTAATACTTCTGAGATGATTTAACAGGAGCACAAGGCTCAGAGAGATGTGGATTTATTTGGGCTAGTTCATAGCTTCCTRCTCTAACTATCTGACCTGCCTTTCTGCCACAAAATTTTACATCCGTATCGGAGCTGAAAGAAATGCAGGTGCACCAACAACTCAACTAGTGGGCAGCTCATCTCAAAGAGAACAGGCTTGTGCTAACATGCTAGAATGTGAACTGGAAGAAGCAAGTAGATCATTTCTTCCTGCCTTTTGTGCTTCAGGGGTAGTACCAGAAAGAAAAGGGGGAGGAAGAGAAGGGAAACTAATGTCTCCGGTCACAGTTTATGATTAATTTCTTCAATTTACAGATCCTAATCCATATGGATAACTATATCAACAAAATCAATGTTGCTCCTCAACTGGGCATACCAATTTATTCCAGATAATAGCATAAGTAGTGAGGCAAAGTTACTCAAGTACTATGAAATACTTGAGATAAAATAGATAAAATAAATAGAACATTTCCACTTTGCATTCATACATGGGATCTAACCTTGCTTTGAGTTTCCCCTACAAATGGTGTCAGTTCAAAAGACGAAACTTAGAAATGAACACCCTAAATGCTTTTGAAGTAAGGGGATAGTACAGTTCTTAAGTAGCYCTGGACAGTAAGGCACTTAGTTCCTCTCAGACAGCAACTTTAAATCTTATGAACTCCTAYAATTAATCTTTTCTACTGAATATTAAATCTCTTCATTGATCTCCGAGCTGCAGCACCCGAATTGAATAAGAGCTATAATGGGGCAATGACCTTGTTTACCCTACATAATACAGCAGTGATCTCRGGTATAATATATCCGTACTCTAACTGCATTATATCTGGAAGAAATCAAACTCATATTATAATTACTTTAGCATGCTTCCTTAGCATGATTATGAGAATTACTTCATTAATCTGGGACATCATAAGCTCCTTTGTAACACACTTGGAATATACAACACAGCACACTTCAGCTTTTCATCCACACTGCCTTTCCAGCACAGCAGGGATCAACATTACGTATTTGCGACTCATGAAAGTCCAAGAAATCACTTTTGCTTAATATTATTGGATCTGTCATTTCTCTTGCTATCAGATAATTTTATCAGATAGTTTATCAGATAATTCAAGTTTCTGCAACTTTTTAAATTGTTCACAACGAACTGTCAAGCTTGTATTCCAAACCTATATTTTGTTTCTGCAGATGTTGCTTTACTAAAAATATCTGTGCAGTTGTAGAAATTAGTGCAGAAAACACTAATGAAAACCAGACAAAGTTTCAAAGATGTAATCAGCAAGTACTTACTGCTCTCAGTAAGAGGAGAAATTTTAAGGTTTGTAATACAAAGAATAGGACAACATATTAAGATATATAAAATACAAAGTTAAGCCACTGTTTAGTATGACTCACACAGTCTATAAAAATGCTGWTACAGCAACAGCCTATAGCTAGCAATAAACTGTAATGTGTGTAATGTCTTAGCTAGGAGAAGATACTATTGTACTGTAAGAAAACACAGTTTGCCTACACTGACCTTTACATTTACCTGAAGCAATTGTAAATGTAGTTCACTAAAGGCTGACCCACTTCCTCTCTATCTGTTACCAGAAATGACAAGTACCTTTGGCAGGAAATGACATAACTGCTTCTAGGTACTCCAAAACAGTTAACAGAGCATGCGCTCACCATTATAATTCAGCATCAAAACCACTAACTAAAATAACAGGCACTTTTTTTTTTTTTCAGTGTGATCCAGTACCATATTTCTAGTTCACTTCTCACCTAAAAAGCCAGAAATATAGAGGTCTTACCACTCTCAAAATGCCTGCCTCAAATTATAAAAAAGTTACAGTAACCTTCAATAATAAGTCTGGAGGAAAACAGTTCCCTCAGAAACATGATTTCTGCTCTCTTCACAACCATTCTTCATGACCACAAGCTAAAAGCACAAGAAAAAAAAATAAGAAAAACAAATAAACAAACAAAAAAGCCACAAGTGCTTCCATGTACATTTTGATTACAAAACTCAATTTTCCGTTATTTTCACAAAGCTTCCGAAACATAATTTGGAGACCTTTGCTTTACTGAATGTGAATGTTGAATTAAGAAAAAGGAAGTGCACGCMAAAGAAAGCGTGCATGCACGAAAGACAGAAAGATACCATTGCTCCTTGGGCTACATTCCAAGGGGTGAGGAAAACAGGTCAACTCAATTTCAGTTTTAAATATCCCTCAGAGACTGTTGCTGATGAGTGTATAACTGATAGACCTATGTTACATAAAACTTATGGTACGCACCAGAAACAAAAGGAAGAGAAAACAAAGTTGGTTATTTAAGCTTGCCTGTCATCACTCACCATCACTTGACAGGAAAACCCAAAGCATCCAGTGCACCTCTTTATCTTTAAGCTGGACAATCAGCTACTCAAAAATACCCAGCACTGCCAGGTGCCAACCAGCTAGCTGTGGGGCTATGCAGAATTGCAGCAAACTTSTGCCCCTCTGCCTCTAATGACCCTGCCCAGCACTTCTTGTGAAGACTGAGTCAATACTTTGGCAACACCTTCAGGGTAGCTTTAAGATTCAGATCAAAGAAACTTGATAAATGTAATTATAAAAATAAAATAAAAAATAAAACAAAAGTACCAGACAAAGTTACCACAGAAACTTTGAGAAATTGAAAAGTAAAACTTAATTCTGAGTTTCTCATAAGATAGTATGAACAGTGGCAGGAATCTAGGACTCTTGAGACAAATCAGATATGCAATTGTGCAATCATACTCGTATTTCAAAAAGGGAAAATTACATGAAAACCCCAGGCTATATTTCATCTTCAAGATATGCCAACTTTCTCTCTCTCTCTTTTTTTTCCCCTCCAGAAAGTTACACTGRTATATGAATCGGTTTTGTACAAAACAGAAATACAGAAGGACCTTGTTTTTAAATTAAAATTTATAAGATTTGACATTCTCCAGCTAAAAACATTKACTTACTACCCTTGCTAGAATTTTCTAACATTCTCTTGCTATCAAATATACAGCCCCCATAAACTTCTGTAGGTAACCGTCAGCAATATTTTGGACTTCCCATCTCATACTACTCATCAGTTGTTGGTACCAGCTCTGAATTTGAGAGATATCTTTAGATGGTATACAGTCAGAAAGATGCTAACTGTATRGAGTCTATAGACTGTATAGGACTGTACAGCTCCTGCTGACAGGAGCTGCATTTAATAAAACTCTAATGCAAATGAATTTGTCAGCCAGAAATGGGATTTGGAACAATTTATCAAGAGAGTCAGCAATTCTTACAATCCCATTGTTGCCATTTACTGATACACCTGTCCCTTTCAGAAGTATTACTTCATTAATTGTCAAGGTGGAGAATCACACGAACTGTTYGGTGATGGTAACGTGCTGTAACCTCAATCATTATTGTAAGAATAAGAGTGCTCAGAATATATCCAAAACGCAAACTATTTCTAAGTTGCTATACACACTCATAAATGAAAAACATTTATCTTCAGAGGAGCTTTAACATCCAGAGTGAATAACCTTACTCTGCAGCAGACCAGACTCTACCAACTTCTTTAGGGCCTTAATGCTTTTAGGAAACYAAAATCCTTAAGTTTCCAAATCAAGCATTTCACCTTGAAAGACATGTTTTCCTTCATTTGTTTAATATCACATTTCTCTCAAATGCATTTCCCTTAAAGGAGAGCTTCTAAAATAACTTATGTGCAAGGATGAGAAAAGACAGCAGCTCCCATCAGTACTTAGAGATTTAAGAGGCCTTCATAGCTRTTAAACTAACATTCCGCTAGAAAGGAAAATTTCAATTATTATTATGACAGGCCAGACATACAATGAAAACTTTCTCAGCGTGAAGATACGCATTAGGAGCACCTCAAACAGCGTTCCTACTGCACTCCCAACAGTACTGAGATGAAGGACTCCTACCCTTTAGCATACATCATTCTCTGAAAGTGCTATGAGCTATACAGYAAAAGTAAAATTGTATTTATGCCAGACAAATCAACATGCCTAGGAAAACTAATGAACTTCTTCTAATGTATATAGTTATATTACAACACTGTTGAAAAGTCTGTTTAATTAATTAAAAAAATTAAGTCATAAAAAATATGCACAGGAAAAAAAGTAACGGCAGAAGTGGGAGAGAAAAGTTTTACTACTTAAGGAAGCTGAATGATAAGCTTCTCCTCTCTCTCCTCACCCATCCACAGAAAAGTAGATTTAAGATCTAGGTTCCCTACCTGCAGGTACAGCACACACAGCACAAGGCCCCAGGTTTCTGCTCCTTAGCCATTAAGTAAAGCAAAATTCACTAGACTTTGGCAGCTAGAACACCCAACACTTCAACTAATGCAAGCTCTCATGATAGACACAGAACAAACKCAGCACCAAATTTAACTGAAACACTTTTTCTAAGAGAATGATTTGTGACTTACATTAACAATAAGATAAGCCACAAAATTTTCCAAGATTTCACTGTTTCCATTTCTGTGGACATACCCTAGGGAAAATTTAAAAAAAAGTGCTTTCTTTTCCTGATTAGAAGAAAAATACTTTAGGGTATTTCCCTGAAAGACATGTCACATTTCATGAAGAAAGGGCTTCCCAAGTGATCACTCGGGCCATCTTACTGTCACCTACAATCCTTCCACTACTAGTGTCCCTACCACTCCACAGCCTGCCAGTAAAGTTTGCTTTTTCCTCCTTGGCACGCATGCCTAGCTCCTTCTTCTTGTTATTCAACTTGCCCTTTCTACAGTTCCATAACATACAGGCTTGTTAGAATCATTATGCCAATACCTGGAATTACTTAAGATAGTAAAACTGTGAATTACATTGTACTACAACTACATACATGCTTCTCGCTCACAGATTATAATGACACTTGTTGATTTCTGTTTCTAACCAATGCAAGAGCTTGGGAGCAGCCGCTGTGCCTAACTACACGTTTCTGCAGCAGCACACACCCCAAAGGCTGCATGCGGCCCCCTGGGGTGCACCACAATTTAATAATTACAACAAAACAAAAAAAAAGTTTGCAAAGAGTTGTTACTTGTTCGCTGTCCCTTCTATTAAAGTGGTCAGTTTCTCCTCCCGGATCACTGCTCCCTTACAAACAAGGGCGAGCCACCCCAGCCAGGGCTCGCACTCCTCTTCCTCGAGGCCCCCGGCGGTTCCCGCGGACCGGCCCTCCCCGGGACCGCCCCTGCTCGGCCCCGGGCACCGGCAGCTGCCGAGCGCGGCCGTARGGACCCTCCGTTCCCCGGCCCGGCCTCACCAGCTCCTTCTCGCCGCCTGAGCTCGGGTCGGGTTCGGCTCGGCGACCCGGAACATGAACCCGGCGCCTCCCCCGGCCGCTCCCCGGGGAGGCTGGCGCCGCTTCGCAGAGACTGTGGAAGGGGCGGCCGGGCCGGGGGACACGGAGCCGGGAAGGCTACGGGCACGCGAGCGAGCGGGTACGGCTGCTCCTCACTGCCCCATGATGCGGGCCCGGAAGCAGCTGCAGCGCCGGCAGGAAGCCGGGCGCCACCATCGCGCTGCTTCCCCTCCCGCTCCGCTGCCCGGGACCGCCGCGGCCCGGCCCGCGGGCCCTGCCCGTGCCCGCCGCCTCTCCCCGTGTCGCTCCGCGGCTCCGCTCCGCGGGGCCCCCGCTGAGCGGCGGCGCGGCCGCCCCGCCGGCAGGAAGCGCCCCCCGCGCGGTGGTACGGCCCGGTTGCCATGGCGGCGGCGGCGTCGCGGGGGCGGGCGGGCGGACGGGCAGCATGGCGGCCCCGGCCGCGCTGCGGGCGCGGCTGCCGGCGCTGCGGGAGGAGTATTTCCACCGCAACAGGTAGCGGGGGCAGCGCGGGGCCTGCAGCCACACGCACCTCCTCGGCACGCGACGGGGCTTCCTCCGAAACGAGATGGCGGCGCTGCGGGGGGCGCTGCCCACGCCCCTAACGGCCGCGCGCCACGCCCCTAACGGCCGCGCGCCACGCCCCTAACGGCCGCCGCCCGCGTTCCCAAGGGCCGCGCGCCTGCCCACCCGGGAGCTGCGTCGTGACACCTCCCCCACCACCAACCCGTGCCTTTAGGAAACCTGTTCAGACCCCCAAATTAGCCGTCTTCACCCTCCCCTGCTACAGTGAGGGGGAAAATGCGGGGCTCGGCCTCAGCTGAGATTTGGGGTGCTTTGAGTGGTAGCGACTGAGCTGTTTTATCCAAGGAGCCTGTAGGCTGTAACCCCTCCACACCTTAAATACACATAAACTGTGAATGTATCCTCTTGAGGCTCCAGTTCACAACTTTTGCTAGACATTKAGCTTGTCCTGTCTGAAGATTCCACTTTTTAAAAATTAAATGACAGAATTTCCCACTTTCCAAGTGAGTTCATGTTTATTCTCTGCAATGCTACAGCTGAGGTGTGTTACTAGATTAGATTGTGCACTTTAGTRCAAAAAGATAAAACTTATTCTAAACTAAAGAGAAGCTTTTCCTCCCAGAGATCTAAAATCTCCCCTATTCCAGAGTGACAAACTGAACAGATCGTGTGTTGCCGGTCTCCTTACTAAGTGGGCCAGTTTGTGCTGTCTATGTGAGGTGGTAGTGGTGGAGAGGGCTTTTCACAGAGCAGATTTTAAAGAGTAAAAGTTTTGACACTTATTTTAAAATATTTGATCAATTTCTACTGCAAATCCTTGTATACCAATATATAATTGCTGCCACTAAATATGTAACATTAATATCCAAATAAATACATATTTAATTTAGTTCTATTTTTTTCCTTTACTGTTCACTGACCCTTTTGTTGTAGAAACCCACTGCAACGTCATTGGTGTGACTAGCAAAGCTCTGTACCATTGCCAGAAGTCRCTCGGAGTTCGTGGCCTGCCCGTCTGTGGAGCATTCATTCTGCTTTCGTGTTTGTTCCCTGAGCTTTGATTTGTGCTCTCGTGGCCACACACGCGGCAGTTCACTAAGCAAGCATCAGTTACAGCAGCTTCTACTCGTGTTTCTCATATTTTAGATTAGAAAGAGCTGGCTGAGCCAAACATGGAGATCCATTGGAAGGCTGCCTGCGTGATGTCTGGGGAATTGTTTTGGCAAAGCTTTCCAAAACCAAATTGTTTCCTTTTTAAGAAGAGGCTATAATCCATCAGCTTCTTGAAGTTCAAAGACCTTCAGCTGAGAATTTAAATGGGAGCTTTCACACATTCCAGCTCAACTACTGAACTGCTAATTTTTGCTGCTGATCTAATCTTTAGGGTGAGAACCTTCTACGAAGCAGTTAGCAAAATCTTGAAACAAATCAGAATATCTTGTTTAGTGCTTCTGATATACCTAGAAAAATTGATTATGTTTAATTTTTAAACATAAATTGACAATAGATAAGACTGGTTTTGGAGCTAATATCTCAGACAAGGCTGGTTCCACATCTCCTTCATTTCCAGGCTGTAACCGTGGCTGCCTGGCCGGAGTCAAACTGCTCATACATCTGATATCAAACTCACTTACCTCGGAGTAAAGTTTTCTGGAGACGTTAGTTTCCTGTGAGGTCTAGGAAATGGTCCAAGAAAGGAACAAGAGCTCTTTACCATAAACACGAGCTTTGATACTGAGTTGCTTTGTGGTCTCAATAAAAGGCTTGTTTGTTTTCTGCAGTTTTCAGGTATTGAAACAGGTCTGATATACAACAAGTGGCAAGGAAAACCTGTGCTCATGTCCGTGTAGTGGGATGTGGGAGCACATCTGCTGTGTTTTATCAGCAGATACAGAATGAATGGAGCTCATGTCCCATGCCCCCAAAGACACATTAAAGTAGTCAACCAGTAATGAGGATAATATTCAGTTATCAGATACAAATGACTCTTGTTAGTGTTTACCAAGGCAACTACTGTTGACACAAGACTCAGATAGAGGGCTAAGTAATATTAATCTAATTGTTATTCTGTCTGTAACAAAAGAAACTATTTGGCAAAACATTCATAATAAAAATGTGACAGAAAAAAAGATCTATGAAAATTAATATATAACTTTAAGTTCATCAAATTGACAGTTATTGACATTTTCTTATGAAAAAAAAGACAAATCCCACTCAAAACCAAAAATGCACACTCACATAAAACTTAAGTCAGCTGTAAGTTATAAACATTCTAGCAACGAAGTAATTTAAAGTGATACTTTTCCTTATTGTTTTTAAGAATTTATTTCCCTAGTAATCATTTAGGTAGAAGAGATCTTAGAATATTTGATGTATTGTTCTGAGTACTTTGATGTTCTTCTTCCTTATTCTCCGTTTCCAGTAAAGTTTATAATTTTTGTTTTTACTCCATATTTAGTTCATTTTTTGTTTTTTATTCCAAAATCTTTACATTTCGAGTGCAGCCTCTCAAGTGACCAATCCTCTGCAGGGGAAATTGTTATCTCTATGGTATGTAGTTAATATACATTATATTGATTGAATTATACAGAATTAAAGTTTTAATTACAGGTGGAAAAAGGGAAAAAGATCACAAGTTGCAACAGCAAAAGAAATACTTAGAAGCACAATTATCACACTGACAAGTATTATTCCTTTTTGTATTTTCAATACCTACTATAATATTTTTTACTACTTTTTGTATTTTCAGATTGGTGGATGAAAAGCGAAAGAAACAGTATAAAGCTGCTGTCAAAATCCAGAGCTGGTTTCGAGGATGCAGAGTCCGAGCCTATATCAGGTAGTATATATAGCTGACTTTAATCTGTACATCAATCTTTATTTTTTTCCTAAATCCTCCTACTGTTTGGCTTCAAGAAAATGGAAGCATTTTGAAAATATCTAACCGTTATTCTGCTTTTATAAAGAAAGAAATGTATGCCTTAATACTGTAAGAAACTTTTGATTTTCAGGATTTTATGTAATTAAAATGGCATGACACTAGGAAGAGGCATGGAAATAGCCACTATTTCAAGAGAGATGTGTGGTATTGTTTAAGAAATCTTATCATGACTGGAAAAAAAAAAAGATGAACCTCACATATATTTTATGTAGAGACATTTTGTAGCTATTGAGAACATTATAGAAAAATTGCTTAGTAAATGCCTAGTAGCTGGACTGTTTATTATATAATGTAACTATTTAGACAAGTTTTGCCCCTGGATTTCACCAAGTCATTTTAAAAAATCTTTTCTGACATGATTTTCTCCACTTTGAGATGAGGAGCATTGAAGAAATAGTTTGATCACTGAAATATTGTATATTAGCAATATATTTTTTAACATAATATAATTGAATCATTAAGAAGTTTGGCTCTCCTTCCTATTTGATAACCATGAGTCCAACTGGTCTACTTATTTGCTTAGAGTTCTCTATTTTCATAAAATTTAAAGCTATGAACATCTTGCTTAGTAGAACATCTTGCTTAGTAGAACATCTTGCTTAGTAGAACATCTTGCTTGTCACAAGTCATTATGTATCACCTAAACATACTAGAAAAAGCCTAACAAATTATTAGGCTAAATAATATTAATCATTTAATGGCCATTTTTTCCATCTTAAAAGATAGGCTGCAGCCTATCTGTGCATTTTTTAAAAAAACATTGATAATCTGTTTGCCACTGTAGTGTCGTCACTGAATGCAGTTATCGCATATGTGTTTGGTAGGTAAACAAATGTGGTGTTTATAATGTATGCATGGCTACAAATATTTTAAGATTATCTTTTTAATGATTTTTTTTGGCTTAAGTATGGATAATACACTGTATATTACTTTTAATAGGAAAGTATCTTTATATTTTAATAATATCTCAAGATAATTATTGTTTTGTTAATACATTCCATTTTAGATATTTGAACAAAGTGATAGTTGTTATACAGAAGTGGTGGAGAGGTTATCAAGGAAGAAGATACTTCAGAAAAATGGTGGAGGTAGGAGAAATGTTTTAAAATTTTTGTTTGACTACATTATTGTATTAATATAAAGTAACACTTCAACTCATTCTGAAATTAAAAAGCTGAAACTTGGTCCTGTCTTCAAATATAAGCATACTTAACTTTACTACCATGAAAAGCACCATTAATTTCAGTGAGCCTGCTCATGATGGTCTTGTTAAGTTAGTGCCTAACTGGTTGCAGCTCTGGAGCATTAGTCCCCAAACCAGCAATGAGATCTGCTCATGCAGAAGCCTGTCTTCGTGGTGCTAATTGCAGGATTGGAGCTTTTTGAGCTGATTTTTTTTTCTCACATGCAGAACTTTTAATTCTTAAAATAAAATAAGCCAAGGTTTCTACACATTGCTATTCTGATTATTAGTGGCTTAAATTTCTTACTTAATGAACCTTGAAATATTTGAGGTTTTGCCTTAAGGCATGCAGCAGATCACAGTCAATCTAATTCCCTTTATGGACTTGAGGATAGCAAAAATGTATGATAGCATACTAGCTAAAACCTCTGTTAAGAGGTTTAGGAGATTAAGAAGAAGCTCATTTGCCTTTAGCATAAAACAATAAAGTTTTTAATAAGCAGTTTACTTCTCTAATTTATCAATCTATGCTAATATTTTACATTATAATAGTTTTTAACTTGTATGTCATTTATTCTTGATTAGTCTTGTTAAAAACTAAATTACTGTCTTTCATTCTAAGATAAATCAAAAAAACTGAGCAGCAATAGCTCACATATTATATGCTATAGTCGATACCTCCTAATAAGCTATGGTCTTTTTTCCATTTACCTTGTACAATACTCTCATTTTTGCATGCAGCCGCCTGCCTGGATTGAATTCTGTGCTGTAAATAAAGTAGGCTGTCATTTAAATATTGTCCCCGACTTTAGGGAATGATTGTTTAACTGAGAAAGCCTTCTGAGGAGGAGGAGAGACTTGATAATGTTGTATTTGCTGAAATTTGCTGAAAAAGAGAGAGGTCTCTTGGAGATGCTGGGAGAAGGGAAGGACAAAATCAACCTGCTTTGAAACACTGACACGAATTGACGAGGATGTTGTGAAACCCACTCTACTGCAGGTTTTTAAGAGCAAGTTACCTAAATGCTTGTCCTGGGTGAGTGGTTTAGATATACCTCAGACAGAGGTTTAGGCAAAGTTGCTCATGACATTCTCTCAAGTTCTATGTTTCTTCTCAGGTAGAGCATTAGGTTTCAGAAGCAAAGTGATTTGGCTGTCTTTGTGCCTTTCAAGCTGTGAAGATAAGAGTAATTACTGTCACTTGCTGGCATGCCATCATCAGATCATAATGAGGACTTGAGCAAGACCAAAATTTAATGGGTTTATTTCCATATTTTTCCAATCACAGAAAAATGTAAAGAGCTTTCTTCTGGCCAGTGAATGTTCAAATTTATTTGTCAATAATAATCAGGTTGCTATTTTAAAGAGAGCAATGCCAGTTCAGACAATATTTTTTATATGAGGATTATAAAAACAACAGGGCCCAAATAAGGTGCTGAAAGAACATATTGCCCCATGCCTACTGTGCACTTCAGTGTCCTGAGTGGTGCTAGGTAGCTGGGATGGCAAGGTCATTCCTCCCAGAGAGTCAGCCTGCAATGTAATCACCTTGTAACCACTATCCCGAAGCAAGATGAGCGCTGGTGGTTTCTTCCACAGAACTCAACCGTTCTGTGGTTCTATGAAACTGAAGCTGTTTTAACTCATCTCTTTGTTACTACCCCTTCTTTTGTCCACCGTTTCAAAAAATATTCTTTAGTTTAGTTTTAAGACAAAGCAATTTTTCAGATTAACACAAATGCTCTGTATTAACCAAATCAAAATAACTAGCATCAAAAAAACTCTCAGTGTTACATTTTAAAGACATAGCATCTGAAAAAGAATGATTACCTATAAAGCCTGATTTAAAATTTAGTTATTTAGATAAACCTAACTGATAAGCCCTTGACAAATCTGGAGTTCTATGGAATAATGCAGGACATAAAATAGACCAAGGCCCACTTAAGTACATGTTCTAAATCAGATCATGGATCCTTTCTGTTTCTGGATAGCAACAGTGATCCTCTATTAGCAAAGCCTTTAGAGAAATTGAAGATTAGTGCCGAATTTGTGAATTGTACTGCAATCAGCTTTGGAAAGCCTTTACCCTAAAATTCTTCATTTTGTGTTTGCTGTGTCTCTGATTGAATACTAAATTTCACAACCTTTCATAGAGAGCAACCTTAAAACTATGTAAGTGACAGATAAACCAATACATTTCTCCCTTTAGACTGCTATATTCTATATCCTTTGTTTGGAGATGGGACCTAACATTTGTATCTAAGTTCATTTCCCTACCTTTCTTCTTGTTGAATCTTTACTTGATCATACCTGGCTAAACTTGTAACATTTTAAACTGAAACAAAAATCTTTTCAGCAGTTTAAGGTAACTTTTAATTTAAAAGACCAGTTAACATTTGCTGTGGATCTCCTTAATAACTGTTGTGATGACTCCTGATAATGAAACAAAAAGATATATTTGACATGATAGTTTCTTAAATACAAAAACAGTGGTCACTTTAAAATTTGTCTACTGATAATGACTGGATCAGTATCTGCTGCCAGCAAACAAGGCAAAGCATATGTACAAAATAGCCATGATTACTTGATAATAAATCATTTTAATGATTGTATTCAAAACTGTGAAATGTGAGCGGTACTGATGCGGAAAATAGCAAAGGCTGAGGCTCGTCAGATTGGCTGTCCATATGTGCCTCTCTACTAGTATTTCATTTGTTACTCCTCTAGTGTCTCTTCCTGTGATCTTTATGGTCTTCATAAGCCTGAGTTATATGTCTATATTTTGAATATAGAGCAATTTTAAAATAAAATTGKATAGAGTAATTTTTAAAACTTAGTAAAAGATTTTTTTTTCTTTAAAATTAGTCTCAAGTTAAAATTAAGAATTGAGGTTGTAATAGTTTTCTTAATGCTGTATTTTTATTGATTGTACTAAAAAATCTTGTGTGACCTGCAGGAAAGGATAAATTTTAAAATCGGATAAACACCAGAACGTAGATCAAACTATATATCAAATTTTCTCTTTTTAAAGACAAGAAATCACCAGTTGAGGCAAATGGAATTCCACCTTTCATGGTTATATGATGTTTATATGCAAGTTGGCATATTCTCAGCCCACTTTGGAAAGAGCCACATTTGAAAAAAAAAAAGAATATTTGATGTAGCATCTTAAATATTTTAGTTTCAGCTCAGTAACTGGTTTTAAATAATCCCAGTGCAATAGAAATACATAGACAAATGCCTATTCACTGCATAAAAAGTGACTTTTCCCCAACTCAGACCTTCTCGCAGTCTTGTCTCAGTCAAATTTCTGCTTCTTCATGGAAGTGGTCACTTTAAATTTTCTATGTAAAGAATAAAAGTGCTTATCAGGAGTAGATCATATTTCTTTTGTAGATGGAGCCCAAATATATTTTTAAATTGTAGGAGAGAATAAAAGGAGATAATTTATTAATGGCAGGACATCAATTTATGAACAAAAGAGCCAAATTTATTTTGTCGTCATKGCCTTTGAAATAGTCTTATAGGGGGACTTATATGTTGCTGTCAGAGCTAAGTGCAAACAGTGGTTCTAAACTGGACAGGAATGCTCCAGGTGAGAAACGAGTTTTTACTGGGGAGACATAAAAGGATAGACTTGAGCTGAAGCACTAAGTTATGTCAGTGCTTTTATGAATAAGGAGGATGAATACATCCTCATTTATGAATAAGGAAGATGAATACATCCTCAAGCACTTGCAATAGCTGAATTAGTACATTTTACTTTAATCATAATTAGAAAACAGAGGGCAAATCCATTTTCAAAAGAGTCTAGATGGCCACACAAGCCTTTTGGCTCACATTTCTGATGCGATTGACCTTGTTAAGTAGAATAAGAGTAAGGCCTGAATTTGTCACACCTAGCTGGGTGTGACAGGATGTTAGTCAGGAGCTTAGTTGCCACTGACTATCTTTTTCTTTTTTTTTTTTAAAAAAAGAGGGAGACGCATTTGCAGAGCTCTTCAAATCTTACCTCGTGTGCAAATGCTCCTGCTTGTCTTTCAGTACTGGTRACCTAAACAGCATAATACTAACACATTTGTAATTTATGTGCTTCAGGGAAATAGGATAGATTCAGACCTAAGTGCTTACRGCTTCAAACACAAGAAGAATAAATAAAAATGATTGAGATTGTTTAATTTATTCACTTGATTGACAGAAATCCAGTGGTCATTTTTTTTTAAACATTGAAATTTCAATTAAAATATGATTTATCTATAAAATATAATTTATCTATCTATAATAGATAAATATATCTGTTTATCTACTATCTACATAGTTGTGATGGTGCCACAACTCTTGCATTCCCTTACAAAGAGAGAAAAAAGGAGCTGCAAAGYAGAAGGATATCAATTTAGTCTAACCGTTTCAGAATGTACTTAGGCCTGGCAACCGTTATTGCATCGCCAAATTTGCTGCACAYGGATAGTATCACTCTGAAAACTTTTGTGGAGAGAGAAGTTAAAATAGAATCTGCCAGTTCTTCTAATTCATATTTTTGGGACAGAGATTTCCTCTTATATATATATACGATATATATATATAGCCATGTGTTTCTATATGTATATATTTTTATATATATATGAGAAACTGAGAAACTTTTTTTTTGAAATTTATCAATCCTACATTCTTCTCTCAAACAAAAAAATATTTTTTCTATTGTTTGTAATGCTACTAGAACTGTGTGATATTAAAGAGAACGTTTTAAATGCACCTTAATTAAACTGCAGGAATTATGCCTTGCTTAATGTAATGAAGAAAGAGAATTTAAAATGAAGTAGCATCATTGTGTTCATTTGTAAATAACATATTGCAGCCAACTGTTTCTTAATTGCCCAGACTGTTGATAAATAATCCAGTCCTGCTGCTCTCCACAGACAATTTGCTTTGGATCAGACTAGGCAATTCAAATAACACTAATTATAGTGAAACCTTTTATAGAGAATTCCTGTTTGCCATGGGGGAGAAAATCACTATATCAGGGGAAAGCACTTTTGCCTTTGATTTGTGTCTAAAACATGAGAAACACATAAAAGCTGCATGTTGTGCTAAATAAAGGACATACTCTTGCATTCAGAGTACTTATATTTTACTTTTTATGATACAATTGTGAATTATGTTCATTTTGCATTTGTAATTAGAGGGCGGAACAGATGTGAAAGCTTAGTTTAAAGTGATGTATCCATTAAAATAACCTATGCTGCCAAGTGATTGCTTAGTATAATAGGGGATTCGTTCACTAGGAGAGGAATTCTACTTTATTGGAAGGAAACCAGGACTTCAGGAAATGTTTTCTATATCAGGGGATTCACTGTAACATGATATCATTGTATTTATGATTTTATGATGTTAAAATGAATATTAAATGAAACAAAATTCCCAAGGATTACTCGGGAGGCAGCTAAGTACATAACATTTAGTACAGATGGTTGGAAGGCACAATTTTGCTCCATCACTGCATCCGTATCCTTGAACGATTTCGACTGAAGACAGCATTTCTTTGAATTTTTCATTAAACCAGACGTCTTGAAATATGAATTCCTTTTATGTTTCTGTGAGTTTTGGCTAAAAGAACCCCAGTGAATAAATCATACAATACTACGTGTCACCAGCACTTGTGAATATTTCTGCTTTGTTATTCTACTCTCAGTAGAGCACCATTGATTATCAAACTCAGCGGAGAGCATTTTATGATCATATATCTCCATTAGCTCCTAGTTTGACTACCATAGATTTTTCTGGTTAAGCCTGCATTATGTATTAGGAAGCCTATCTCTTCAATACAAAGTTTGATTTTATTCTCTCTAAGCCTAGAACTCTTATTATGTATTATGTATAAAGATTCCTATCTTTTATATGTAAAAATAGGAGCACTGTCTTTGTGTAACTGAAATATATGCCATCTTTTTTTTTCTTGATTCACAGACAGCATATTTTATTATGAAGATGAATTTCTACAATGAAATGGCTGTCAGGGTAAATATTTCTTCACTTGTTAAACAAATGAAAAGTCAATTGTTCTCCGAATTTGCTTTTAATAAAATGAGCAAACCAGAATAATATACACTTGATTGATATGCTGATGGTAACAGCAGGAAATAGTACATAGTTAAAAACTCAAGTTATACGCAGTAATCTGGCAGGTATTTGAAAACTACAGCTGAATATAAGGCATTTGTGTATGTCTTGCCCTGTTTAGATTTTCATTGTACCTTACCATATATGATAATGATAAAACAAACAAATATTTTATCTGAGTACCCTTCCAAGTGTAGGCACGTATTTACAGTTCTAACGAACTACAGGATTTTCACGTCAGTTGATGTATCTGTGCTTCTTTTGTGAGTGCTTTATTATCATGTATTGAATCTCAAAAGGTTTATTCAGATAGCAAAATACAATTTCAGTCCTTAAACACAGAGGTGGAACTGTACTGGTCTCATTGATGCTATTATGAGTGATTTTCCCAGATGAAGAAGAATCCTTGATCTTCAGTAAATACATAGCAAATAAAATATATACATATGTCTAGCTTGGAGAAAACTGCAAAATAGATTTAATTAAAAATTAACATCTTTTTTCCTAGACTTAGGAACTGCATTTAAATAAACATAAAACAAACAAGAACCTGAGATAAATCTTTTTATCTTTAATTGTATGATTTTGTAGAAAAGAACTGCCTTCATTTAGGGTCTTGGCTTTTTTTTTTAGGAAAGACTTCTGTTTCTTATTAGATAAAAACCATATGCTACCTTTTGAATTCCACAAAATAGGGGAATAAGAATGAAGAGCAACTCAGGAAAACTCCCGTACGCTAGGAAAACTCCCTAGACAAGTCTGAATTTTGCAGTAGTCTTTCTGGTGCCTATTTTGGCACCAGAATTATTTTACTCAGAATCAAGACATGTATCATTAGATTCACACCAAGGTTTTGATCTGGTGCTCTTTATCCCACAGGCACAAAACAGAAGCTTACATTTAATCCAAGTTAAGTGAAGGCATTCAGCAACAATCTAATTACTCAGATATGGATTTTTTTGTTCTAGATATTTCTTTAGTTAGCTGATTTACAAYTTTCCCACAGAAGATATATATGTTGTATACTCATACTGTGAAAATCAGTGGGAAAGCTGACTCAGAAATTGTCTGTATACWTTCAGAAGGCATTTCAAGACCCAACTATGTATTCTATAATGAAGTTTGCATTTGGGCTTTCAATTTTAAAAGAAATTGAACATGTTTCCACTCATTTGCAATAGGAATATCATGTTGAATCATTAGTCGATATAAATCTTCAAAGTCCCATTTTTTTCAGTTATATCATTTTCTTTAATGGCAGTTTATCAGTAGAAGACAATTGGACAGATCTTTATTTAGTTACAAATGTCAGAATCTGATTTTCCTGTCTAAATCCTATTCTGAAACAAGTTTTTTTTTTTTTTTTTTTTTTTTTTTATCATCCAGTTATTGAAGAACTAACCAAGGTGCAGGACAGTAGAGAATAAGGCCTGTGAGGTTTGCGCACAGAAGATGTGGGGCTGGACTTTTAAGTTTCCTAAGTCTTTGCATTCACACACTGTGAATTTGATTTACAATTAATATACTGCACTGTTCTGGCAATATAACAATAGCTGATGTATACATTTCTGACTACTTTGTTTTGCCTCATAACATTATTAAACAATTTAGTTCAGTTTCCAGTCACTGATTAGAAAAGGCACTTTCCATTTCAACATTAGAAGTATCATTGAGGGCAAAAACACATGGTCATAGCTTAGAAGTCAGTCTACATCCCTACCTCCCTGATTGCATTTCTTGTAACTGGTACTATCAGTTTCAACTTTTTAAGTTAAAATAGAGAACTTGCTTTAATTGATTTTAATTCTGACGACTGGGTTGCAACATGATTCCCTCCCTTAAAAAATTTAAGGTTGCTATAAATTTTCTGCAACAAAAGTAATCCCAGGAAAAAAAAAAAAAACCATGAGCAGATGGCTTTTGATATATCAAGGTTTTGCCATTTGTTTTAGTGCTTAAAATAAACATTATTTATAAGACCACTTACATTTTGATGTTACTTAATGAGGAATATGCATCATTGATTTGACTAGCTTAAGAGGTCATTTAGAACTTGCCCGTTAACAAGCTGTAATCTGCTGAGCACACAATGACTTTGTTTAAAATTATCTGTTCAGTGCTGATCAATGACAATAATTGTTTTGTACCAATCACTGTTGAAACTTGCTAATTACTTTGAAGGGCACACACACTTGTCTTTTCMCCCCAAGAATTTTCGAGCATTCACCTTGGAATTAAAAAGAAATATATTCATAACATATTATATGTCCTTATAAAAGTGAAAACTTACAACTTCCTTATTGAAAATACGAACCTCATTGGAATCTTTCTGTAAAACTGCCTTTTCTGGAAAAATTAATCTTCAGTCTTCTGATCTCTGACACACAGAATTAGCGTAATAGAAACCTAACATAAAGTAATTTGAGGCATAATGCACTTTCTCCTACTTCTGTTTTATTATGTTGAAATCAGGGAGTTCATTCTGGACTGACAGTGGTGGAAATAAAGGCAGAATGTGACAGTTCATTGGTACGCAGAGCCCACTGAATTACAGCTTTATCTACTTTACTCTTTTGTCTTTCAGTTTAAAAGTTTTGATCCTTTAACCCACAAATATCCAGTTCTGCATTTATAGCTGTAAGGTGAAGACTATCAGAAAGAGTTTCAAAGGGACCTTAATCCTGCATTAATGAGAGCATAGCTATATGGAAGCCAAGTTGCTCTTGTTGACTAGCAATATTGAAGCCAAAGCGAAAAACAAAGCTAAGACTCACATGCAAAGGATTTGGTTAATCCCAGATCTCTGAAGGCAAACTCATTCTTTGCTCTTGCTCTATCCCTTTTTAACCCAACACCCTTGTGTATAAGAAAATGGAGTTGCACAGAACATGAAATTTGCTACCACATAGTGCAAAGTAGCACACCTAGCGCTTAACCTTTCTTGCTCCTGTGTGCAGCTCAAATAATATAACTATTATTTGTTCTTCTTACAGTAATGTCTAGTAGTACAAACATTTTTAAAAGAAATAAAAAATCAACACGTGGATAAAATAAATTAACAATTTCCTCAATTTACCATTTCATTTGAGAAGAGTGGAAAATGGTAATATAGAAAGAGGAAATTAGTAAGGCTATACTAGCACTGAAATGGCATCCTCCTATTTCTAATAACTAGYGCATGAATTTATTTTCTTAATGGTGCTTCCCTCAAAGACTTACTAAAAGCTTGCCTGCGAGACTTGTTCTCTTGTTTACTGTTATGAAGAGGTGATTACAGCTGTATATTCAGGTACTGTTAATTTAGACCTAACACTTGTTTATACTTAAAAAAGTCACAGTTTGGCTTTTGCCATTAAAAAATGGTACCAAACACAAGGTTTGAGCTTTTGCAACCTTGTCTTAGGAAGTCTGCAAGTAGCTGCCTCTGGTGGTTCTCTTACTGCTTTCAGCTCAGGCAATGGCAGCAGATGGACAGCTGCAGCAGCACCYACATAGTTGTACAGAAACAAGCTACACTGGAACTGGAATGAGTAGAGATCACTTTGACAGTTACTTAAGAGCTCTCTCAAGTCTTGAAGATGCAGGCCATGGATGGCAGAGTGCAAAATTTGTGGATTTTACTGTGCTTGCCCTTGCAGTCATAGGCTGCTTCTGCAAAGGGAAGGGTTATTGTAAAGGGAAAACAAAACCTTTCGCTGTAGATTTGCCAAAGAGTTGAAATTCTTCAAAAGTCTAATAGCCAGAGACTCGCAGAAAAGAAGAGATCCTGTCAAATTCTGAATTTATTTTCTTCACTACACATAGAGAGTAGCTTCTCCTCTTGGAATTGTTCCTAAATAGTAGTACTTCAACCAAAAGGCTTTTTGCCTTTTAAATATAGTAGATTATGCCTTTTAGCTGTTAAGTGTCTTAAGATTTCTAAGCTGCAAAGGTCAAAGAGATGAAAGTTGGAGAAGGAGTGAATACAGACARGAAGACTGAAAATGAGAAATTATTTTATAAATGTATTGAGAAAAAAAAAAGAAAAAAATGCAAGGAAGGAAATAAAGAGTATTACATAAGACCATCAGTTCAAGGATGGAGGAAGTTAAAGACAGGGGAAATCSTGAAAGCAAAACATAACAAAAGGTTATTAAACTATAAGATATATTGATCTAGCATTCACTCATCTGTTACAGGAAGGAAGATGAAGAGYGAGAGCAGTCCTCAGCATTGACTGAGGAAATTATGTCTTCCATGTGCATCACTACATCTCATGGCATGGGGATGAAGTTGACTAGCCAGTGAAATGACAGTAGTTCYAATTCTTTACCTAATTAATGTTTATTTTCCTTTTCCACAAAGTGGAGAGCCAGCATTCATTTCAGAAACATTCTAATCACACTTCTGAAGTATCCAAGAAGGTTTAAACAATTTTGATAACTTAAATTCTGCAAAAATAAAATGAGACTAAACTGAATCTTATATTTTAAAATGCATCGCCTTTGTCCTGTAGAGATGTTATATGATCTATGTACTTAATTCAAGCTTAGAGCTTGATACAGATAAAGAGTTTTCTTTTTTCAGCTTAAGTATAATCTGTTATGCAGGAAGAATTGTATGTTGTTAGAAGATGATAATTAATGTATRACAGAGACACAGATTGTCTTTTCTCTCAGTATTCTCATAGACTCTTATCTTGCATGAAAAATGAAAAAACTGCAATTTGAAAAATATGTTTTCAGAAAGTCTAATTCTTGATTACTGGGAAGACTTCCGTTGTATTTAGATTATATCCAGAGCATGAAGCTGAGAGTGTAGCAGAAGATCTTTGTTCATTTGGGAATCCATGTTGATTGAAACAGGTCTGTTTTTTTATCATTCTGACATAAAACAATGCTACCAGCAGCAGCAAACACTTCTTTTCTTGACTATACCCAGAAATAAATAATGGCAAAAAAAAAAAAGATTTACTTTTTACATTGGTAAAACCTTTGAGAGATGCAACAAATATTTGATATACGTGTTACCAACCTTTGATTTGAAATGTACTAAACAATTTCTGTATTTGTTCTAGATTCAGAAAAGATGGCGAGGCTATTATATTCGAAAATACACCCATAACTATTATGCCCTGAAGAAATACCTGGARGCTGTTTCTGTGAATAATGAGATTGTCAGGTAAAGATAAAAATTCCATATGGTTGAGCTTAAAATTCCTCTTCTTTTATTTGTAAAAATGTTTATGATACTTGTTAGATGATATCTTTGAGCATTGGTGTCCCTTCCTTTTCTAGCATATATAAAGGAGTCGTCATTCTCTGTTATCCCAAAACTTAGCACATTGTGCCACATTCTTGTTTACACTGTTATGAATTCAAAGTAATTGCTTGGAACTAATTGGAAATACTCTGGGTTTGTACCAGTTTTATAAAACAGAATTTAGCACTTAAATTGCCTTCCAAGTTCATATGCCTTGAGTATTGTTTGTTGAAAAAGACTTTTTGCCAGGAAACAAAGGCTAAGGGGTCCTTCTTTTTTTTTCTTTTCCCTCATTTGTTTTGAAAATTGATTATAGATTATATGCTCATGAGAAAAGTTATGAGTGTTTTTAATTGAKTTTAATATTTCTTTGCTCAAATTCTTATAATCACTGGGTAAAAAAAAAAAGAGAGAGAACTAGTGGCCTATGAGGGTGAGACCTGAGGCTGACCTGTAAAGCAAATGGGCTTGCTCTGTGGAAAACAAGCCTGTAAAGCAAAAGGTTCAGGGGGATCCAGGATGCATTTGCCTACAGATCTGGATATTTTTAGCACATCAGAACATCATTAGGCCTAAAGGCTGCATATAGGTAATGTATAAGTAGACCTCAGAATGCTTGAAAGATGGTAGTGTGGACATGGCAAGTTAATTTCTTCTCATAGTTATACAAGAGACTTTCTTTTTGGGGATTACAAGCAAGAACCACTYTACTTCACTGCTGTTACTAGATGACTAGCGAGAAGCCTTGTTACTAAGTTTTCCTACTTTGCTTCTCCTATCCATGCCCTGAATTTAATTTGAAAGCTCTCCAGAATGGAAGCAACTATTTCGCTTGTGTCCATACTGTGCCCAGTACACTTCATCTCCCGATCGTGACTATTCAGTTAACAGCAGAAACAGACAAAATACTCCCCAGCTGACCATAATCATTATTTTCTGCCTGTTAATTAAAGGGTGTTGGACAAAATGCATCCAGTTTCTGCTGTTCAAAAAGCCTGAGACAAAACTTTGCTTTCTGAAGGGTAGAAATATAAGAAAATGGTGTGAAAAAAAGGTATTTCTAGAAGTCTGATCACGTAGCAAAGGCAATTCAGCCTCCTGTATTGTAGGAGAAAACACATGCAGTTTTTTATAGGAAAAGCAATAATTATGCAACATATTATAAACATATATAATATATACTATATCTACAACTATACAAATACAACRAATACATGCTATATATACAACTTATTATATACACACTACTATTTTGTTACTCTTCAACAACTATAGTTGATGCTACAACCTCTTTATCTTAGCATTTTAACTCCTATATTACGTAGCTATATTTAAAGAAACATCCTCAAACATCCTCAAAACTGTCTAAATCTGATCTTTGATTGTTGTTCATTTAAATATACTTTTATGCAGATAATTAGAGCGTAACTCAACAACAACTTAAAAAGTCAGTTCTTTCATGCTTCAATAGTATATTCTTGCTCCAAATTCCTTCAAGTTTGTTCAGTTTTTGGAAAGATACAATCCAATACTAAGTCTTGGAAGGAATGTAAGAAAAGACTATATTGGCATAGAAATTCTTTTGTATTGCTTTTCTTCTAACAAGTAAGATGAGCAGTCTGAGTTCAGATACACTAACAATGTGTCAAGGTTGCTGTGTGAGCTCTTCCTTGACTGCTGATAGATTGGTGGTCTGCTAATCAAAGTTCTCTCTTTGGGAATTCACAGATATTTTCCATCTCTATTTTACCTGCACATTTTTTAACACTTTATGTCATATTTTATTGATATTACTTACTTATTGATAAAGTACAAGTTTTATTGGAGCTTTATATAAATGGAGGTTAACAACATCATCTTATTTAAGCTTTGTAAATTGTGTCMTGCATTTCAAAGTTCAAAATCACATTTTTGGAATACCTGGTTTTGAACTTTCGCATCAGGTTTTAATACAATGGTATTACTCTTATAATAGTAACCTAGCAAGTCTTGGACTTATTTTTTATTGATTATCTGCTTCTGAGTTAATATTATGTTTTTATTTTTTTTAYGCTCGTGCAGGAATATATATTCATACAATGACTAGCTATTTTAAAAAGATAAATTGGTTTGATTAATTTAAAGGCTGAATGTGCATCTGGTGGCCCTGTACCCTTGTAGCTACTGGTCTCATGCAAAAATTGCCCTAGATTAATGAACATAAAAATGATATCATGAAATTAAAAATTAGCCAGAGAATTACAGAGTGGTATTAATACGTTAATAAAACAGTATTAAATGTCAGTGAAGGAAAACTAATGTACTTCAGTTGACAGAAACCCAAACTGAAAGTCATTTTATGAGTTTTTCCTGCGTTATAGATGTTGATTTAAATCATTACTTTATCTTGTAAAAGAATGCATAATATATATCATGTAACAAGGAAAAAAAACTTAAGTGAACCACAAGTGAAATGATTTAATTAGGTTGTTTATGAAGGATTTATTACTTTTTGTTCATGTTTTCGTCTAGCCAGTTCAGTCAAATGTATCACATCCTTTGGGTTATAGGAAGGCGACACTTACCAGTCATGTATCAGTGCAGCAATTTCTTTGATGTGGYGCCTTTAAAAAGTAATATATCATTCCCAGGCCCTTTCAGTGGAATCCAGCAGGTGCCCAGTTAAGATCAGGTGTAGGCCGGCAGCATAACAGATTTCTCCTGTCAGCGGGCTGGGGATCACTGCCAACTGTTTGGCCCGAGCGGGGCCCAGGGAGGAATGCAGCTGGCTGAGGAATGCAGGGCACAGGAAAGATTCTTTATTTATTGCAAGCCATTTGAAACGGCATTGCAAATCTGAGGTACCAGCTTTCACTCCTTGGTCTGCAAAACCAAGGATTGTTGTGAATTTTCTCCCCTTTCATTAAGGAGGAGACCGTATCAAATTAGCATGCCTTTGTTTTTGTCTAAGAGTGACTTCAGGGTATCAGACAAAGACAAAATCTTGACCTTTCCGTTTTCGGTCTGATATTCTGTAACTTTCTTTACTTTTCTTTCGCCTCCTTTTTTTTTTCTTTTCTTTTATTTCTTTTCTTTTTTCTTTTTTTCTTTTTTAAAAAAAAAAAAAATACTAAGCGCTCCCTTTACTAAGGGGCTTCCTCAACAAGAAACCACATCCTTACCCATTTAGCTTTAATACAAACCGTCCTTATTTAATAGCTGCCCTCGTTTAGTAGCCAGACCTTTATCATTTGTCTTTACTGTGRAAGCCCCAGGAGAAAGTAAACTTAATAGAAGCTGCCCCAGTTTAAAGCCATAGAGGGACGTAATTAAGTTTAACAGAAATTGATTTAACAGAAATTGACCTAAAATATAATTAAATAATAATAGTCGTATTATGTGAGCATTTGCACACCTTAATAGACTGCTTATCCTAACTTAAGGTGCTGTTTTCATATGAATTGAAGATATATTTATTTTAACTCATTGACTATCTGAAGAGGGGGTAGGTTTCCCTCCATGCCAAATAATTTCTCCTCCTGTAGAAACAATAGGTTTTGCTGTTTGCTGTTGTCCGTAGTACAGTTCCTGTACATAAGTTGGGAAGTATTTCAAACAGTTTCTTGATGGATGGCAAAAGAATGAATTTGAACACAGAATTCTAGCTAAACAAGGGCATACTTAAATTTTTCTTGACATTCATCAACTTAACTTCAGGGTATCTGTGAAATGGGCTCCTTATCCCTGATTTTTTTTTTTTTTCTCAAAGATTCAGGGGGTTTTAAACCAAACAAGTTGGAAACATACATTTTCCATAATCTTGCAATGCAGATTTTAGTAATATGACTTCATCTATAACATCCATTAATTTTTAAATAAATACCAGTGCACACAATATTCTGTCTGAATTTAGTAACTTTAGTGGTTACATATGTAAATGCATGCTTTAAATTTAATTCCATTACTTCTTGCTGAAATGAGTGAATTTCATTCCAAAGGAAAATACTTTGTTTAGAAACATTCTTAGAGCTACATTTAACATCTCTAAGAGTTGGCAAAACGGTTGCAAGGGGAAATATGCCAAAAGCAATTAGCATAGGCTATAACTTCATATGATGCATTAGAATTTTGTTTTATGTGAAGCAATTTTCAATCCATGATAAGCAAATGGACATCATTTGACATAAATTAGCATGCTGGTGTCATTATATCAGAAGAATTTACGGATGATGTCAGTTGCCCAACTGTGTGATTAACTTACAGTTCTTTGACCAAGGTTATCTACACACTGGCCTTTAAACTACAGTAAAGCAACCTAGCTATATACGTCAGGTGTGCAACTGGAGATAAGATTTTTGGATGTAATTTATATTGCTCCACAGTGCTCCCTTTACTGTAGAATGGCAACATTTTAATTTTCCCCTAGGCGCTGAACTCAGTACAGTCACAGCCTCAGAAAAATGAACAAAGCAGAGGCAAAGTGGCTTTAGGTACTTGTGTAAGCAAGGCAGGTAGTTTAATTTTCTTTGTTGTTGAATAAACAGTGACCTAAATGTAGCCAACTTGAAGACCTTAGTTTAAACTTAGAAAGCATCATGATGTGTGTAAACACTGTTATGATCATTAATGGTGAATTTCACATAATTTCAGAGCTGACACCAAGTTTTCATTTTGACTGTTGTTGGCTTTAATGGTTAAAAGGCCTTCAGAGTGGCCCTGTAGTGTGTGACTTTTATCCAAATTTGAAGAACTTTAATTAGACTTAGTAGGTAAAAGTCTAAAGCTTAAACTTAGTTTCAAAATGTTCATTAAATCTTTTTGGTCTTGAAGAAAGGTTATGGTTAATACAAAGGCAGATAGTATAAATCACTTCGTTGGCAATTCAATGAAATTCTGTATTCATAGATCTTTCGTGCAGCCTTATTTGTAAAATCTTAATG